GAGCGTGTCCTAGCGGAGAACTGATACACATGTGTTAGATGGCCGTCCCGTATGTCGTTGCAGTGCGATGTGCTCTAGTATGGCATGTTTTTGAAACTGATGCGTGCGATGTATGGCTGATGCGTGCGTTCACGCTTTTTGCTTACACTTTGCTGTTTTGCGCATTCTGCCATGTGTGTGTTGTGTTTTACATGTGCATTTGCAAATTGTATGTGTATGTCGATGCCCGTGTGCGCTGTCCATGCAACTCGTGTGCGCAGTGATTGTTTACATTTCCCTAGCGCCAATTCCGAGTATGCGTAATCTGTGCTGAGTTTGCCTGCTCGTCTGATTATGTACAGGAGGTGCGGAGCAGAATAGACATCCCAACGACCAAGCACGACGCACCTCAGTGAGGAAAGCGCTGAGAGTTCGAACGTGTTTGCAACAACGCGGAAGTGAATACGTACTTGTCTGTCTGATAGATTGCCCCTGTCACGGATCTGCCTCAATAGCGCGTACAATGCAGCGGTGATGATGTCAATGGGAGAATAATTTTGTACATAATGCATGTCAGTTTATGCTGCGTGGAAATGTAATATGTGCATGCTTGCTTCAACGGAGCGATTTCTGAATGCTTGACATGTTGCGTGCGTCTGGAAGCTACATTTTGGGCGCGTTACATCCTGTGTGCACCATATCCTCTCCAATTCGCTCTGCTGTGCAATGTGGCACGCTGTCGTATTATGATGCATGCTCTGGGTGCCGTGTGCATGTAACAGATGTGCCAAAACATGTACGCATGTTGCCGATGCCGATGGACATATGTTACGCTACGCACGCGTATGTACGATCGTAGGTTCATAATGCTGTCGTTATGTTTACTATGGCACTCCACAAGTACGCTCCTCATGAACTTGTCATGTCGAGGACTCGAGGCGGGATAGCACAGGCGTTTTCAAAATTCAACCAATAGAACCTGGACTGCTTAGGGATACCCAACAGGGGACGGAATGCGAGACGGCATGCAGTGGCTATGCTCGCGCATCGCGGGCGTCGGGGTTCCCTCGCCACCACCGCCGTCACCTTTGTCGTCGTCATCGTCGAGCCCACGCTGCTGTAATCCGAAGCCGCGCTGGCTCCGTCCTGGTTTCCATCGGTGCCCCGTGCCAGGCAAGGTTCGTGAGCGGGCGCCGCAGGCACCTCAACGAATGGGGTGAACACATGGCCTGACCACGGCGGCGTTAGCGCACGCACCGGAGGAGAAGGATGGGAAGGGGGAGGAGGCGGATGAGGAGGAGGAGGAGGAGGAGGAGGAGGAGAAGAAGGAGGAGGAGAGTTAGCGGAGGAGGAGAGGAAGGGGCGGAGGAGGAGAGGAGGAGAGTTTGGAGGAGGAGGAGGAGGAGGGAGTAGGGGCGGAGGTACGCGGAGGAGAGGAGCGGTACGGAGGAGGAGGAGGAGGAGGAGGAGGAGGAAGAGGAGGAGGAGGAGGAGGAGGGGAGGAGGAGGAGCGGGGAGAGGAGGAGGAGGAGGAGAGGAGGAGGAGGGGGAGGAGGAGGAGGATTGGGAGGAGGGAGGATGGAGGAGGAGGAGGATGAAGGAGGAGGAGGGAGGAGGAAGGAGGAGGAGGAGGCGGAGGCGGAGCGGAGGAGGATGGAGGGCGAGTGAGGAATAGGAGGAGGAGGAGGAGGAGGAGGAGGAGAGGCAGGAGGAGGAGGAGGAGGGGAGCGAGGAGGAGGAGGAGGAGGAAGAGGAGAGGAGGGAGTGAGGAGGAAGTAAGGGGAGGAAGGAGGAGGAGCCCGAGGAGGAGGAGGAGGAGGAGGAGAGGAGGAGGAGGGGAGGAGGAGGAGGAGGAGGAGGAGGAGGAGGAGGAGGGAGGAGGAGGAGGAGCGAGGAGGAGAGGAGGGGGGAGAGGAGGTGGAGGAGGAAGAGGAGGACGGAGGAGGAGGAGGAGGGAAAGGAGGGGAGGAGGGGCGAGGAGGAGAATGGAGGAGGAGGGAGTAAGGGGAGGAGGAGGATGAGGAGGAGGAGGAGGAGGAGGAGGAGGAGGAGGAGGAGGAGGAGGAGGAGGAGGAGGAGGAGAAGGGAGGAGGAGGAGGAGGAGGAGGAGGAGGAGGACGAGGAGGAGGAGGGGAGGAGAGGGGGGGAGAGAGTGGGGAGAGGAGGTGAGGAGGGTGAGGGAGGAGGGGGAGGAGGAGAATGAGGGAGGAGGAGGACAGAGTTAAGGGAGGAGGAGGAGGAGGAGGAGGAGGAGGAGGGGCAGGAGGAGAGAGGAGGAGGAGGAGGGAGGAGGAGGAGGAGGAGGGGAGGAGAAGGAGGAGGAGAGGGGGGGAAGGAGGGAGAGGAGGTGGAGGAGGGGGAGGAGGGGGAGGAGGAGTGGGAGGAGGAGAATGAGGAGGAGGAGTAAGGGGAGGAGGAGGAGGAGGAGGAGGAGGATGAGGAGGAGGAGGAGCATGCACCTTCTTTGGGCCAGCGCAGGAACTGCGCCTGGCCAGGCGCGGGCGCCATGTAGCACGTCGGATGATGCGCCTTGCCATCACAGTCTTTGCACGGTCGTTGCGGCACGCGGTGCAGGCGAACTGGTCGGGAGTTGTTCTTAACATCCGAAGCCCCCAGCCTTCTAGATGGGGAACCATGTGCAATGCATTGCGAGAGAGTGCAGCATGAGGCAGGGCAACTGAAGCAAGCATGTAATGCAGCGCGTTGCGCTGACATGCAGTGCAAAGCAATGCACTGCACGCAAGCAATGACCGTAATCCAATGTGAAGCATGGCAACGCAAGCGCACATGAAACAAACAGATCTCAACGCAATGCACACCGAACAACGCAATGCGCATACATTCAAGATTTGCCCAGGGAAGCCTTTTGAAACCAGGCCGCCAAGCGCTCGGCCACAGGCCCTCTCTCACCGATGACGCACGAACCCTCGCAGACGTGGGGGGACGTGACGCAGTGACGCAAGTCGCGAGGACAGGTAATCCGCCGCCCTACGGATGCCCCACTGCTCCCCCTCTCTTCCCCTCCGCTTCCCCCCACCCCCTGCCCTTCTACTCCCGCCGCCCCCAGGGTCCACTGGACCCGGTCTGGGACCCGACGTCGGCTCCTGTACCCAATCCACGAGCCGGCATCGTGAGGACGCCCCGCGCGAAAGCGCGGGTGTGGGATGCGAAGACTTTTCTGCGTTACCAGATGAGTTGGACTGAGGTCGGGCATGTCCCCCTACAGCTGGTTTTGGACGAAACATGGGAAATACGCAACAACTGCGCCAAAAACGCTCCCCCAAAAATGGTACATACAAAATCGTTCCCATGATATGTGTTGCTTATTTTTGCGATTCCCCCTGTAGAGGGACAGGCCCGCCTTCAAGCTGACTACCTACCAAACCACCCCAACCCAACCCGAAGACCCGAATTTGACTCCAAATTCGGGTTCGGGGGGGGGGGGGGTACGAGTTCCACGTGTTTTTTTCAACTCTCCCCGACACCCCCCCACTGGAAATGAAGGTCAATTTGAGGCCTTCGGGTTGGGTTGGGGTGGTTTGGTGAGTGGTGAAAAGCAACTGCGCCAAAAACGCTCCCCCAAAATGGTACATAAAAAATCGTCCCCATAATATGTGTTGCTTGTTTTTGCGATTCCCCCTGTATCGGGAGCGGCCAAGAGGGGGGTGTCCAAGAGGGGGGGTGCAAATCATGACGGGCGGCATGTGCGCGGCCCAGCGCGGGGGCCAGGGACGGAATGAAACAAGAAGAGGCGCCCTGAGATCTGGGCAAACATCATGGCCCCCGCCATGATATCCACCCCCCCCTAGTCATCCCCCCCTCTTTTCCGCCCCCGACTGTAGAGGGACAGGGGGGGCACGTGTCGCGTATTATGCTGGTCGAGACATCTCAAGGCGAGCGTAGATGACCCACTATGGAGGAGGAGGAGGAGGAGGAGGAGGAGGAGGAGGAGGAGGAGGAGGAGGAGGGTTGGGTTGGGGTGGTTTGGTGGGTGGTGAAAAGCTGGACCAAGACCTCTGGCAGCCTGCAGCCCGTGGGGCCCCCTCGGCCCCTGCCCCGGGGGACTGCCCCTCCCCACGGGGAGAGCCGCCCTGCTGGCGCGGGAGCCCGACAGACGGCCCGCGGAGGCCGACACCGACGAGAGACCAGGGAAACCACAAGGTTTACCAGCCTCGAACGTATCCCTATCCCTAAGATTGGCACGCCAAAAGGCGATGACAATCTTAGGGATTCGCCCTCAAAGAATAAGGGAATCCCTAAGATTGGCATCGTGATAAGGAGGTGCCCAGCCTAGGGATAGGAATAGGTTCCAGGCTGGTAAAAAAGGTACCTCGAGTTTCGAAGTACCTTGTGGTCGAGTTTACTTCGAGCCTCGAAGTACCTTGTGGCCGAGGCTGATTCAGAAACTCGAAGTCTTCGAGTTTCTTAATCAGCGTCGGGGGGGGGCGTCACCCCCGCCGACAGCCCCACATCGACCTCCGTCGCGGGCAGCCACCGCGCGCCGAAGGCGCCCCGACCCCCGTCGCGGCGCGACGACGAGGCGAAGTTGACCCCCGTCGGGGGGTACCGGGTTCCCCCCCACGATCATCAAAAACGCAAAGTACCGATACGGCTACTCCCCGGACCTCTCCCAGGGTGCGTTCTGACCAAAATTTCGAAGCGAATCCACTGGTAGCGACGAGGGCCTCCGAAGAGGCCCACGAACGGGAACACGGGCTGAGGCTAGCACTATGGGTACCTTTCCCTCCTCTGGGAGACGGCGGGACCGCAGAAAGAAAAAGGTCCGACAAGCGTCTGACGACGGCAGCGGCGTGCAAGGCCTCCTCCGTCCCTTCCTCCTCCTCCTCCTCCTCCTCCTCCTCCTCTCCTCCCTCCCCTCCCTCCTCTCCCTCCTCCTCCTCCTCGTCCCCCTCCTCCTCCTCCCACCTCCTGCTCCTCCTCCTCCTCCTCCTCCTCCTCGTCCTCCTCCTCCTCGCACCCCTCTTCTGCCTCCTCCTCGCGACGGCAGCGGCGCGCCAGGCCTGCCGCCGCGGCCCCCGCAGCGCCGAGCTCCCCTGGCCGCGGCACCTCTGCGGCGGGGCCCAGTGCCTCGGGCGCCTCGTCGCCTGGGGGGCGCGCGGGGCGGCGCTGCCGGCGATGCGCAGGACGCTCTGGCCGTCCGCGTTGGGCCTCTCGGGCCGTCCAGATTTCGTAATAAAGGGAGGGGGGTCTCATTTCGGGGGGGGGGTCTCTTCCAGGCTATCTTGGAGGGCCTGGGGGGGTCTGGGGACGATGTTTTGGAGGGTTCTCCCACGGGGGGGGTCTGAAATGGCTTGTCTTGGAGGGTCCAGACCACCTCCCTTTTATTACGAACTCTGGAGTACCCAGCCTCGAATTGATGCCTATCCCTAAGATGGGTGGGCAGCAAACGAAGACAATCTCATGGATGTGCCCTCGGGAACCGAGGGAGTCGTCACGATCGGTATCGGGGTGAGGCGGTGCCAAACACAGGGGGCAGGGATATGTTTCGAACTGGTACACTCCGCGGCTGGCGCCCGTCGGGCCCCCCGGGTCTTCTCGTCGTCCTGTTCCCTGCGAGCGAGCCGGGCGGCCCCCCCCCAGAAGCGCCGCACCCAGACTCGCGCCGCGGGTCCCCACCAGGACTCCGGGCCTTCCCCAGGTGGTGGAGCGCCCATGCCCGCCCCGCCCCCCTGCATATGCTCCACAGCGTACTTGTGTTCCACGGCGATGTTTCGCAGAGGACGGAGGAAGAGGCGAGAGGAAGATAGCGAAAACGCCTGGCCGGTGTCCACCTCGAACCCGAGGAGTCGCCAGGCAGCCCTGCTGCAAGATCGTCCTCGCCCGATCTCCCCTCGGTGGATGTACGCCCGCGCGGGGTTCTGTCCCTTTTTATCTCTGCTCCTCTGTCGTGGCTCCCCCCGTACGCAGTAGCGTAACTGCATACGATGCTCTGCGCAGTGCGCTTTGCCACCTCGGGGCTGCAAGGATGGATGCAGATGGATTGACGCATCCTGGGTGTACTCTGGTCTTGCTCGTCGTCCTCTCCCTCCTCCCTCCTCACCACCTCCTCCTCCTCCTCCTCGTCATCATCATCATCAGCATCATCGTCATCATCATCAGCAGCAGCATCATGAGTACACTCATGTTCATCGTCATCATAATCAGCATCAACATCATCATCATCATCGTCATCATCATCATCATCATAATCACAATCATCATCATCAACGTCATCATCATCATCGTCATCATCATCACCACCATCAGCGTCATCAGCATTATCATCACAATCAACACCAACGTCATCATCACCACCATCGTCGTCATCATCACCTCATGATCAGCAGCATCATCATCAACATCATCGTCATCACCATCATCAGCACCAACAACATCAGCGCCAACATCTCCATCAACGTCATCATCCTCATCGCCATAATCGGCAGCATCGTAATCACCATCATCATCATCGTCAGCATCATCAGCATAACCATCATCATCATCAGCATCATCGCCATCATCATCACCATCATCACCAACACCATCGGTGTCATCATCATCATCATCATCATCATCATCATCATCATCATCATCATCATCATCATCATCATCATCATCATCATCATCATCATAAACACCGTCATCATCAACAACATCACCACCACCACCATCATCATAATCCTGATTAGCCTCCTGCTCATCCGTCGCCTCCCCATCCAGCGTACGCAACCTCATTGCCACGACTGCGCATAACACATTGGGTCCCCGTTGGAGTTCCAGGTCCGCTGTGACACGCGTCGGCTGACAGAGAAACAAACAGCGCCATAGGGGAGGGATGCGTGAGAGGGGCAGGATCCTAGATGTGGTGCGGGCGCGCCCGGCTTGTCATCACCCTCCTCTCCCCACCCCACCCTTGCCCCTTCCCCCCCCCCTGACCCTTCCCCCCTGATCCGTTTGCCCCCCTCTTGCCCATTCCCCCCTTGACCCTTACCCCCCACCCTTGCCCCTTCCCCCTGTTGACCCTTGCCCCACCCCCCCCCTTTCTTCTTGCCCCTTCACCCCCCTTGCCCGGTCCTCCCAGTGCCCCTTCCCCCCCTTGACCCTTCCCCCTTGACTCTTCCCCCCAGTCTTACCCCTTCCTCTCTAGCCCGCCCACTAAAACCCGTTCACCCCCTCTTGCCCCTCCCCCCCCCTCACGCCTTGCCCCTTCCCCCCTTGACCCTTTTCCCCCTTGCCCCTTCCCCGTCTCGACCCTTCCCCCCTTGATCCTTTCGCCTATTTCCCCTTGACCGTTTCCCCCCCTCCTCTTGCCCCTTCCCCCCCGCCCGTGCCCTTTCCCCCCTTGCCCCCTCCCCCCCTCGACCCTTCCCCCCCTCGACCCTTTCCCCCCTCTTCTTGCCCCCTTCAACCCCCCCACACTTCCCCTCCCTGCCTCCTTTTCCCCCTGGGCCCTTCCCCGCCCCCTCCTGTGCCCCTTGTCCCCCTCGCCCCTTCCTCCCCCTCCCCCCCCCCTCCCCCGCTCGCCGGCCTCCTCGGCTCGGGGCCACCTGGCGCGCCTGCGGCTGCCCCTTGACCACCTCTGCGCAGCGGGAGCGGCTGGGCGCGCCGATCCCGCGGCGCGGCAGGGCCAGGAGAGGAGAGGGGGACGGGCGGGGGGGTGGAAGGCGAGGGGCGGGGGAACGAAGGCGAGGGGGAGGGGCGGGGGGGGGGGACGGGGGGAGGAGGGAGGAAGGACAGGGGGAGGGAGGGCAAGGGGGGGAGGGGGAAGGAAAGGCCAATGGGGGAGGGAGGGAGGGGGAGGGGAGGAAGGGGGATGGGGAGGGGGGGAGGGGGCGGGGGGGAGGGAGGAGGAGGAGGAGGCGGAGAGGGAGGAGCAGGAGGAGGAGGAGGAGGAGGAGGAGGAAGGAGGAGGAGGAGGTAGGAGGAGGCAGGAGGCGGAGGAAGAGGGAGGAGGAGGAGGATGGAGGAGGAGGAGGAGGAGGAGAGGGGCGGAGGAAGGAGGAGGAGGAGGAGGAGGAGGAGGAGGAGGAGAAGGATTAGGCAGGCAACCAAGACTCACGCGAAGCTCTCTTCTCTCTCAAAGCACGCTCCGAGTTTCGCTGGGCAGTCAAACTAGCGAGAACTCAAGGAACGAACCGCCAGTGGAGCTCCGCCGAACATCGCAAGCACGGCGGAGGGGCAGAAAGAACTAAGATGAGGAGGAGGAGGAGGAGGAGGAGGAGGAGGAGGAGGAGGAGGGGCACGGGCGCTGTATAAAAAAAAACATAAGCAGCCCCACGGAAGCACCACCATAACATACAATCACACACTTTTTGAGTCGGCGGGACTGCGCTGGCGGATCGGCATTGGTAGGGCATACAAAAGCGAATTAACCCGCGATGCGCGAGGGGGAGAAGAGGAGGCGCCTGGCGGTGGCGGGCGGGAGACGGAAGCCGGGCCGAATACAATCAAGCACACAGCGGCAGCACTGGAGCCAAAAGAGAGTAGACAGGAAGAGAGGAACAAAAAAGGATAGAGGAACACAAACTGTAACGAACTGGGCCCGGTCAACCCTGCAGAACACACGAATAGAGGGAGAAAGACGGGGCGCGGGAAAAAAAGGAACGGACGCCCTGTCACAGCCAATGCTCTACTGGCAGGCCAAGCGCCCGCGAGCAGTACAAACAGTCAGATTCAGGAGCAAAGAACATGCATGAGCGTGTGTCTGCATCTAGGGGGGAGAAGGGGGAAGGGCAGGAGGAGCGGAGAAGGAGGAAAATGAGGAGGAGGATCATGCGGAGGAGAGCGGGGATCAGGAAAGAGGAGGGAGGAGGCAAGAGGAGGCGGAGCGTGAAACAGCTCCAGCCAATAGCACACAGTAAAGACCCGCAGCCCGCAGACCGGGACGTCAGAGGAGGCGGCAACCCCTTACATGATAACCTCGCCGAAAAGTGTGCTGCGGACGATGCGGCAAACCGCGGGGAGGTACGCGCTGGGCACGACTAGGAGACAGAGCAGCTCGGTCAATATCCCGCTCTGGCGGAAGAGGATGGCGAACGTGATATCCAAGGAGAACATTGCCAATCGCCTCCGAAGGCGCCGCGACGAACTCAGAACAACCGACCCTCTCGAAGTAGTCAGCCCAGCCAGCTGTCAGCACGTCGTCGTCAAGCTTCTTGTGCTTGACCGGCGTGGAACGCGGCTCCATCCGAGCGGGGCCGTCGCTGCTGCCACGAGGTCGCCCCGCCACGCCGCCGAATCAGCTTGACTGAATCATCGGAGCCTCCTCCTTACTCTGAAGAAGAAAACACGGCATAAACACAATCGTTTGGCGCTCCGCGCGGATTTCTTGAATCTGACCTGGACCCCCCTCCCTGGCGCGCGGAGCGCGCCGGGGGCGGCGCCGGAGGCGCCGCCAGGGGGGTCCCATCGCGGATCCAAGAAATCCGCGCGGAGCGCCAACAGTTTATGTTTATGGCGTATTTTCTTCTTCGAGTCTCGCAGCAAGGCCATCTGGAAAACAAGGCCCCAAATGCGTCCTTGGCTTCCGTCCTCAGGCACGAACATGCCGTCGGCGCGAAAGAAACGGCAACCGCGCAGAGTGCCCAGTTTGCCTAACTTAAAGAGTCTGGGGCAAGGGTGTGGCAAGCGGCGGCGGCTCGCACCAGGAGAAGGAGGAGGAGGAGGAGGAGGAGGAGGAGGAGGAGGAGGAGGAGGAGGAGGAGGAGGAGGACGAGGAGGACGATGAGGAGGCGGAGGAGGAGTAGGAGG